CCTCCCCCCCCCTCTCCCACTCCACACACTCTCAATAACGGTAACCTGCATAATGGCCTCCTCCGCAACCAGTCTCAAGCGCCCCCATCCCGACGCGCCCGTCTCCAACTTTCCCGTTCCCAACACCCACCTCTCTCCCAATGCGAAGCGCGTCCGTCGTACTGTCACCACCCCGAATACCATTGCTACCATTCTACGTTCTGACAACCCAGTCCCTTCTAAATATGCCCTCCGCCTATCTTTTCTCCAGTCCCTCCACATCCCGGAGTCAGCCGTCCTCGGCTTGTTGCAGGGCTTGTCCAACGAGGCCGCCGCCTTTCTCGCCATCGTCGATTTGAACCTCTATCGAGACAACTTGCTTCAGATCATCTCCGACTTCTCGAATAGGGGCGTCTCTATCAGCACCCTTAACGTCAAGGCTCATGCTTTCATCATGAATGAGAAGCAAGGCGTTTTGAACAGCTTCAAATCGTTCTACGGCCATCAGGCATGGCCGTGTCGCGTCGCAGAATACATTGCAGGTACCGTGTTCGGGGAAGAAACCGCTATTTCTATCAATGTCATGAGTGGCGGAGGTGTCAGAGACGTCCTCATAGCAGACTGGTGTACTTTTTACTACAAGACTCCCACCCCTACTCCACCGCAGATTATTCTACTCACTGCACCGTCCGGCGCTGTCTTCCTCATTCCCTTCATCCCTTGATTTCTTTATCTATCACCTCTCAGCCATATTCTGTCTGTACATATGCTTTTTATCTTCACGTAAACAACTGCCGTCTACGTTGCTCTTGAAACCTTCTTTCACTTATTCCCCCGTCCGTTATTTCATGTGCGCCAACATCCCCTCCGGCCCCTCGACAAACTCCTTCCACCTCCTGTTGAACATAGCCATCGTCGCCCCATCCACAATCCTGTGATCCGCCGCCCACGACACCGTCACCATGTCCCTCACTACAACCTCTGCGCTGCTATCGTCAACCACTGCCCGTTTCCTCACCGCACCGAGCGCACCAATACAACTCTGCGGCGCGAACACCACCGGATTGGCAATTCTGCCCCCGATACTTCCGATATTCGACAGCGTGAACGTCCCGTCCTCCAAATCCCTCCCTCCGAATTTCCCGCTATCCCTCAGTTCCCCGAGCCGCATCAGCTCCTCGGCGATTTCCAGCATCGACAGCCTCTCCACCGCCTTGATGTTGGGCACTATCAACCCCTCTTTTGTGTTCATTGCGATGGATATGTTGTGCGAGCTCTGGTACACGATGGTGCTGTTCTCCATATCCAGCCGCGCATTGAGCACGGGAAACTCGGAAAGCGCCATCGATGTCGCCTTGATGAAGATTGGCATCAGCGTGAAGCGAAGCTTCGCATCCGCGCCCAGCTGTGTGACAATGTGCCGGCGGAGCGCCATCGCTCCTTCCATACTCACGTCGTCGGCAAGTCCGAAATGTGGAATCTCGAGCGATGCCGCCATTGACTTCAGCATGCCCCGACGCAAACCGCGAATCGGCTCGACGGTGTTTTCGGCCCTGCCTTTCGCGGGTTCCGCTTGGCGGGTGGACTCGTGCTCTGGAACCTCGCTCGCTGACCTGGTTGGCGGGTCATGCACGTGGTTGAGCACATCTTCGTCAAGTACGCGCCCGTCGCCGCCGCTATTTGGCGTTGGTTGTCGCAGATACGCGGAAAAGGGAGGGGTTCACGCAGCATGAGTATTTTGCCAGCGCCTTTCTAGATGCGTCGCACTGTGTAGGCCGCCTCGCAGTGCCGGACCCTTCGTGCGCAGACATCGCAGCCTGGAGCAGTGGAGTGACGCATGCTTACCTCCCAGTTATTACGTCAATATCCAATCCGTGCTCGCGAGCTAATCTTCTCGTAGAGGGCGTTGCGAGCGCAATTCCGTCTGATTTGGTTGTTGCATCTGAGCTCTGTGAATGATCTTTTATATGAGATCTTTTTGCGGGCTCTGCTTGCTGAACCGTTTCCTCCTTGCTTTCTTTTTGAGTGTCCGCATCAGGCGCCACTCCAGCCTCGGAGGTGCGAATGTAGCACTGTGGATACGTGAGCAAAAAAGTGCTTGTCAGTTAAGATTCGTTTTTCTTTCAGGACGACTATAAAAAAACTAGAAGTGCAGGGCGGGACACTTACAAGAGGCGAACCAACTGTAGCAATATCGCCTGGTTTGTAGCTGAGCGCATCAACGATACCGTCGTACCTGGAAGAAATTTCAACAGTAGCTTTGTCGCTTTGTACCTCCACGAGCGGTTGAAATTGGGAGACTTTGTCACCCTCTTCAACGAAGAATTGAATAACTTCAACTTCGGCGATGCCCTCGCCGATGTCGGCGAGGAGGAAGGGGGTTCTGCCAGTGCTCACTGACGAAATTGCCCGTCGTACTAAATGGAGCTGGGGGGTGAAGAGCAAGGGCGGTGCCCTTCGAAGCGCGGGTGACCGTAGCAGGGAACGGAGAGCAAACATTTGGCCCTCGAGCTTAAGAAAATGCTTGCGCTGGAAAGACTTCGAATATATTTATTTCTGAACAAGTCGAGTCTCCTCCTACTGCTCTTCTCTAGACTGCATGATGCTACGGGTTGTCAAGCTATCTCGCCGTAGGTGGAAAGATAAGATTGTGGGGTGAATGAGAAATTGCGAGTGTAACTTCAGGCCCAAAACCGAGCAAAACCCGTCTTGAAAAAAAAAACAAAAAAATCGAGGGATGTCGCAGTTGTCGTGTTGGGCGCCAACGCTGCGACTCCGTTCCATGTGGAAGCTCACGTCTCCTAGTGACGTTGCACGTAAACAACCTCCACATATCTACGAGATCTTGTGCTTCAACTGTCTGAAGCGCAGGTGCGAATTCGGTGCGCCGGAGAGCGACTGCTTGCATAAACAGTAAGCACGTAGATGGATGACGGACTTGTATGTTGATGGTGGTCTCGAGCGACTCAAGCCTTGCCATCGAGCTTGTCGAAAGACGTGTAGGTCCGTTAAACTGGCGATGCAATTTCAATTTGCAACAATCTCTTCAGCATTAACGTTTGTCGCCTTCTTAATTTCAGCCTTCATCTCTAGCAGATACCGCACCCTGTCCAATTTCTTCTTGTTCTTTCGGATGACAAACTTAATATCTGTAACATCCGGTCTTTCTCGGCGATTTGCATGCGCTACCTCGGTTGACTTTGCCACGAGTGCGGTCATGTAGTCCAGAACTAGCTCTTCCATGAGCCGCACGGTGTCGGCGCGTGGGTTCTGGCTGTCGCCGAACCCAGACATCATTTGACGAAGCTCCGATTTAAAAATGCGCGGGAGACCTAGCCGCCGTGAGGAGCCGCCCTTGTCCTCGGGCTTTTCGCTTGACATCGCGGCTGTGCTCGAGAGTTGTAGCCACAAGAGGGATTGGGCACGTGGGGTGCGATTGGGACGATTCCTCCAAGCCGGGAGGTGTATTTCGTCGGCGAGGTTGGATGTTCAACCTGCCTCCAAAGGCTAATATTGGGCCTTGGGTAGTAATGCAGGCAGTGATGAACTACAGAAAGGTAGTGCAAGCAAAGCAAGGAATTTTGAATGCGTGTACGTGGTGTCCACGTGTGTACTCTAAATCAATTCAAGGGCAAACTCTGTTGTGCTTAACACGCCTTCGGATGCCTTACTGAGCACTTTGCCACAGCTTGTCCAACCATTGTAACTCCCGCGAAAACGGCGCACTGGTGCATGGACTCCGAAACACAAAGGCGTTCAGGCCTCGTCCCGGTCCCGCGCCTCTCTTCATTTGACCGCAACATGGAAAACTCGTCTCCCTTATCGAAAGATCAATACCTCACTCCGCAGTCAGCGTGAAGACCAGCTCTCGTTACGTGATGCCGCCGCGTGCAGCTTCAGGTGGGGTCCGTCGTCGGCGTGGCGGGCGCCGCGGCGGGAGCTCAGCTGCATCCGCACGTCACCGCCAAGCATCTGTTAAGGCTTTCTTTTCGAAAATGGCATCCCCTTCAGAAAGGATTCCCTCGCCTCCGTCGATTGATTCATTTGTCGAGGTCCCAGACCAGCTGCCAACGTCAGTGCCATCACATCTTGACGTCAGTCCCGCACCATCCGCCCCGAGTTCTACGCAGACTACAGACGAACCGCTTCATGAGAAACGTTCTCCTAGCGAAGTGCCGGATATGCCCTCTTTTGAAGACCGAGAAGAAAATTCTACAGAAATCGTAGACGAGAAGTTTGTCACGTCACCGCACCTTTCCGTGCAGGTAGGAGGGGGCTCCTTGCAGCCTCCGCACAATACCGAAAACGAGGAAAATGTAACAGTGCATATTGGTGGATTCGCAGCCCCTGACGCTCTGGGCAGTTCCGGAAAATTGGCTTCAACAGTCACAGAACCCCTTGACGTACCAATGCGATGGGACTTGGTTTCACTATCAACCACGGTTAACGTTTTTCCCAAGCGCGACCGAGTTTTCGTGCAACTACCGTGCATCGCAGTTTCTATCCCACCAAAAGACAATAAGTTAGCGATAAGTCCTGTGACGCCCGCAAACCCGCGAGCAGAGGGGACGGAGAAGCCGGAGAAGATTCCTTACCAAGCCCTGAGTGAAAGCAGTGGAGAGCGTGTTTCACGTCTTTCAAAACGCCGCAATTTGGCGCGCCGAGCAGCACTCAAGGCAGTTAAATATACAGAGCAAGATGGTATCGAAGAGGATCCAATCGTGGTTGATGATGAACCGGATGATATCAGTGATGACACCGCTGTAGTAGTCGCACACTCGAAGAAGCGTAGAATCCGTTCAGATGTCGCTGAGAGCGAGAAAAAGGAGCTCCACCCATTCTTTAAGGCAGCAGCTGCCTCTGTGAGAGATCCCAAGGATCGACCGAAACGCCCGCGAATTGTTCAAGAGCCCAGCGAGGCCTGGAATTACACTGGGGCGACCATGCACGTAAATTGCTGCGAACCGCTGTTGCCATGGTCATCTCCGCCGGAGCTATCGCTTTTTTCTGACACTGTGAAACATGGTCATGCGCTGGAAAACGCAACTCATGTTTTGCTTCAGTCTTACGAACCAAAATCAGTATCGTTGGCGAGCAATCCAATTTCTAGGCAGGTTGAGACGGCAAGCATCTGCAGCGATATGTGGGTCGATAAATACAAGCAAGACAAGCGGGTTGATGTTATTAGCGCCACCGTCACGAAGAAGCTAGTAGACTGGCTCTCTCCGCGGTATGCAGATAAGAACGTCACCTACGAAAATCGTGCGTTTTCATCCGACGATGGTTCTAGCTGCAGCTCCATCCAAGAAACCGAACCAGTTGACAACGAACGAATAGCTGTCCTTTCTGGGCCTGTCGGATGCGGAAAATCGACGGTTGTGGCCAATGCTGCTCGCCAACTTGGTCTCACAATTTTAGAAATCAATGCTTCAACGCTACGAACCGGAAAACGAATTCGCGACGCCATTGGGGAGGCTTTTCGCACTCATCGCGTCGCAACTGCGCCTGTTCGTGATCCTGAAGCACTGGAGGTGGCGCGAAAATCTAATTCCAGGAAAAAGCATTCTGCGAAGAGCAGCTCGGCATTGTACAAGACAACTGCCAAGACCCTGATTTTTTTCGAGGAGGTGGATGAACTACAAGATGACGAAAAGGGGTTTTGGGCATGCCTGCAAGAACTAGCGGAGTCAGAAGAGTGTCGCAGGCCTATTATATGCACAGCGAACTCTTTTAGCCACCAAATGAAGCAAGTGTTTCTATCGCCGAAGGAGCCCATTGAGTCTGATTTTCAAAGATTGCTTCTTCACTCAAGGGAAGAAATCCCTCTTAATCCCCTCTCTTATAAGCATTTCTCCTTCCCCCCTCGTTCGGACCGTCAGGCTGCAGCTGTCTTTAAGCGTGTCTCAACATCGGAGAAGATGTGTGTTCCTGATCGTGTACTAGACTACCTCGCAACATCCTATCACGCGGATACTCGTCGAGCTATTAACCTTTTGCATCTCTTTGGTTTACCTGGCCTTAACACAAGAAAACGACGCGGCAGGCCAAAAACAGCTCGGGATTCTGCAAACGCCTCTCCGAAGAGAAGAGGTTTAGATATGGCGACTACAGACGGATTTTGCATGGTTGCAGATGTTGACGTTTTGGATTTGAGTCTCGCAGACTTTCATGTAGGCTCAGAACGCTGGGTTGAACACGGGCAGGCCGGGGTGGGAAACTCGCAGAGCGGGGGGCGAAATGAAATCGCCTCACTAGAAGCATGGTGTGAGTCGCTGGGGATGATGAGTGACGCAGATACAATCCGGAATACTGTCGATAACGAGATTCGGAATCGTTCTGGGGAAACAATGGAAGGTTTATCTGAGCTATGTCGTGATGAGGATATAGATATCTGTGAGAGAATTGCTGGAGAATTAGGAGAACACGCAGTGGGTATTTCTCGCAAGTATATTTCTTTGAATGAGGAGAGCCGCAGTCCAAGCAGCTTAGTCAATGACATGCATGCCGTCAACACTTCTACGACTACTGCTGCTATCTCGAAATGGCCCTTGGCAAAGCGGCCTATTTTGACAGAGTACATCCCCGTCCTGAGAACGATGGCACGGGCTGATTCTTCCAACAAGGACTTGAGCAATGGTGATGGGGCAGGGTTCGGACGCGTGGTTCGGAGAACGCGCGCATCTGTTCGAAGAAGCGGGTTTTGCGCACTTGACTTAGGAACAACAACCGTGTCAGAGTTGCAGAAGGAGGCAATAAGGTCGCAACCTTAAACATAGCTGTACATAGTAGCAGTTTAATATTCACAATTGTGTCAGATCAAAGGCCCGGGCCCTCCTGCACTGTTAGTCTTGATATTCACATGTCTGCTTCATCAGGTGTCAACCTTCAAGAGCTTATCCTTTTTCTCTACTTCAGTAAGAATTTCTACATATTCTGCCACAAACCTCTGCATCTGCCGGTTGGCAGCGATGACTGGCAAAACTGTGTCTTTGAGAAGGCTCCGGCAGCTCATCCCCAAAATGGTGTTGTCTTCACGTGGATTAGCCAAGTTGAGGAATTGGTCGCAGAGTTCTCGTAGACGCACTGTACAATTTTCAACATCATCGCTGACCGCAGCGGCAATGCGACTGGCGTAGTTGGTGAGGTAGTAGCGGTAGTCGCTAGCGGATCTCAGTACAATCGCGGACTCCATGAGAGATTCCAAATGGGCGAGAGACTCAACTGCAGAGCGTTGCAAATCGGACATTCCTGATAGGGTTGAAAGTCCCTTTCGAACGCGGCCTACACTTGGTTGTAAAGACCGGAGAAGGCCCACCTTCTTTGTTGATGGTATGGTCCTGACGTACTCGGAGTTGGGAGCAGAGTCATCTGCAACTCTCAGCCAGGCACAAAATGCTGTTGAATATACAAATGCATGTCCATCAGAGAGCAAAAGGATTGGTTCCCCTGCCGCAGTCACTTGACAAAGCGCTACTTCGCGGATGATTTTTGCTTTCGCACCAGTGGAATCTTGCTTTCCACCTGCTGGTGAGTCCTGAGGTGTAGCTAGAAGCGAGGCAGCACTCCTCGCACAAATAAGTTTCTTGGCCTTCACATCAAATACTGTACAGAGCGCGCTTCTCGAGACGAGAACAACGAACCACTTTTCTTTTTCTTTCTCCGTGCCTTGGGATGTTGTGACCGAGGAGTCTGGTGATATGCACATGGCTTCGAGCATGTAGGGTGCGGAGTCGATCGAGATTGGCGGTGCGAGACGCCGCCCAGATATTGCGGAGTACAAAAATAGCATACCATCCCCTGTGCCCACCGCAGCAAATTTTCCTCCAACACCAGCGATCGCCGTTACCGGGGCCGACTTGGGGTGATAGTCTCGCCATTGCACCTTTCCGCCCTTTGAGCACATGACCTCGTACCCGCCACCACTAGAATGTTGTTCTCGCGATTCCAACACGATGCGAGGGGTTTCGTCGCTTATAACACGACACCTTCCGGGACCATCGCCACGATTGGGAAGTAGCATCATGCTCAATCCAACAATACTTGGTGCGTACAGATCGGCGGCGTGCCTAACAGGCATGCCTCTAGAGTCCATGATGTCACCGGCGCCTCGTTTTGAACGTCGCATGCCACCGTTTGGCACATGACCAGCACTGGGGCGAACGCCGTTTGCAATATGCGCGGTTGCTGCGTTACTGGCTGCATCTCTTGACACGTCGGGCCCGCCTGAAAACGGATTTCCTTTTGATCGCTTCCAAGGCGATTCCGCACCTGGTGCGCTTTCCGCATCGCTGTCCATGCCGGCCCTTTGAATATCAGTTGGGGCATTGTTGACACCAATATTGTTCTCTTGCGCAACGGCAGTGACTGCCATCGGAGTAATTCGTCGCTTGCCACCTCGCACTCTGACCTCGGCTTGAGCAGCAATGATGCGAGGGTCTGCGGGAGGCGTCGGGCCATTCTCCCGAACGGCAGCTGCAGCGGCTACAACGGGAGCTGGGAGCATGCCTCTCTTGTCGGACGAAGGAGCGGAGGGTTGCGTTTGGGAAAATGGGGGAACTGGGGGCTTCTGAGCGGAGCGGTGCACCTCGGAGTCAATAGTCTCCTCGACGACGTCCATGGAGTCGTCCAGGACGATTGGAGTACTCGAGTTCGACAGGGGTTTCCGGGGAGGAAGCGGGGTGGGCTTCGGCACTGTCGTGGGAGCCCCTTGTTGGTTTGGCGGGACCGGGTTATTCAGATTCATGGCATGGCGGCGGTCATGCTCAAACTGGAGCTGGGCGGCGGACTCGGGGATGGGAGCGACGCTATCGCCAGCGCCACCAAAGACCCTCCATTGCTTTGCGAGTATGGTGCGGGTTTCTTCCTGTGAGACAACCTCTCCCAGTTCGTCGGGCTCGAAGCGTACGTACATGACGCGGCCATCCGTGGAGCAGGACATGAGGGTGTAGCCATCGGTTCCCCACGACAGGTCGATGACATCGGCATCAAACATGTCGGCGATGTCGAAAAAGGGGCGGATACGGGTCGCTCGCCAGATAGATGCGCCGCAGTCCTTGGAGCCGAGCGCTAGACATGTGTAGGGATCGCGGTCGTTCTTGTTGGGGGGCGGTGTAGTTGTGGCGGGAGTGGCATTTTTTTGCTTTGCGCTCTCCTCAATCTGCTTGTCCATGGCGATGATGGTGTCCGTGGCGCGGTACAGCCTCGGGGAGAAGCGCGAGGTAACGACGGGCTCGCGGTGGCCGATAAAGTCGAGCTGGTCGTCGAAGCCGCTCTCCCTGGACAGCATGGGGGCGTAGTGGGCGCTGGGCTTCTTGTACGCGTTGGTGGCAGTGAGCTGGCTGCCGCACGGGCTCCAGCTGATGCGGAGGAAAAATGCCATGGAGTTCTCCTTGTACACGGCGAGATCGAAGGGCTTGCTGATGACCTTCTCCGTCTTCCAGTCCGACGTGCGCCAAATGCGGACGGTCTTGTCATCCGACTGGCTCGCCAAAAAGCGATCCACGGGGTCCCACGCGACGCCCTTCACCAGACCGCAGTGGCCATCGAGCCTGACAATGGCCCTCTCATTGCGCACGCTCCAGACATAAATGGCGTTATCTACGCTTGCCGACGCGAGCCTCTGTCCATCCGGGCTCCAGCACACGTCGGTAACGTCGCCCGTGTGGCCCCTGAGCGGGCGGCGAACGGTCCAGTTCTCGAGGGCGGCCTTGCCGCCGGCGGCGAAGGCGGAGTTCTGCGGGGCGCCAGGGATCTGCTCGTAGATAAGGACGACGGCGTCGTCGCCGCCGGAGGCGAGGAGGTTGCCCGCGGGGGCCCAGCGGACGCAGTTGACGGCGGATGAGTGGGACGAGATGGAGGCGAGCAGGGCGTCCGGCGGCGGGACGTCGGCCGCGGCGGGGCTGTCTGCCTTGACGTCGCGCGAGTTCTCCGCGTGGGCTGGGATGGCCAGCGCGGCTAGCACCGGCAGCGACCAGATTTTTACGGCGCAGTCCTGGCCGGCCGAGGCCAGCCGCTGGCCGTGTGGCTCGATGTCCACGCTGAAGATGGAGACTGGCGACCGCGCGCGGCCGTGGCGCAGCCAGGGCGGCACGTAGAAGTGCATGGTGGGGGGGGGAGACGGTGGCGGGAGGAAGGGAGGGGGAGGGGGAGGGGGAGGGAGGGGGAGAAGGGGAGGGAGGAGGGTGGGAAGCGGGGGGGATTTCTGCGGATGGGCTGGGGGGGAACTGTTTGAAGGTGGGGCGCATACAGAACGAAGGAAAAGAGAAGGGGGGAGCACGGAATTGAGGGCGGTTGGAGGGGTCGTTATGCTCGAGAGAGGTTTTCGGTTCGGTGCGCGCGAGGGGTTGCTTGTAAAGTTATCTAGATATCGCGCGGCGGTTGTACAGTACCCTGGTACCTCTTTGCTAGATTTTGAAACCGTGCTTGCCGCTCCATGCGCCACGGCAACGCTGTACGCTATCTATGAGCAGCCTCTAAGAAAGCTGTGGAGGGCAAAGCGCCCTCGCCCAACGTTCGCTGCAGCAGGCGTGGGGGTGGGGGAGTGCAAACGACGGCAGTCTCTGCGTCTCTTGCGCGCGGTCTCTGCGGGGGGCTGAGCCCGGAGAGGGAGCAAGCGGATGAGAGTCGGCGCTCGGAATTTTTCAAAAAAAAAAAAAAAAAACGATCAAGCAGACACGTGTGCGACGGACGACGGGTGTCCGAGGTGTGCGACGTGTCGAGGCCACGTGGCGGCCTGTAAACGATGCGCGCGACAGATCACCTCGCGCCGCCCGCGGGAAGGGCTCGCCGGCGCGCGCCGTGTATGCCGCCCAATCAGCGCGCCGCGCCGCGCGCTGTGACGTGTACCCCCCGCAGCGCGCGCGCGCAACACATCGCCACACATCGCCACCGCCCGCGGTGCCCAAAACGGGCCAGTGTCAGCCTGGATCCGCAAGCGTCAGCGCCCGATGCACCATCGCCCGTCCTCATTAATGCTGCGCAGTATAAGGGTACTGTGCCCCTTTTACCGCCCTTTTTACCGCCTTCGACTCCTTATTACATGACCTCCGTATCTCACACCCCGTCGCCAGCCTCACTACAACCCCTTCCAGCGCCGATCCGTCCCCCGCCGCCCCGACCCCCGCCGCCCCGACCCCCGCCGCCCCGTCCCCCTTCTCAACTGCGCCCGCCCTCCGCCATGGTCTTCTCGCCATCCAAAGCCACCCTGCTGCTCGCCCTGGTCGTCCTTCTCTTTGCCCCCCCAACCGCCGCCGCCGCCGCCCCTCTGGTCGCGCCCGAGTCATCCGCCCGCGGCCTTTTTAATGCCTTCTCGGCGCCCGCCTCGCCCTCGCCCGTCCCGCCTCCGGATGTTGAGCCTCTCACAGAGGACATCGACGAGGACGACCATCACCACGAGGGGGACGACCACCATGAGGAAGGTCATCATTCCGATGCACACAAGGATGACAATGTAGAAGAAGAAGATGGACAACCTCCTGCTGACCCCGATGCTGATGACGCTGACCCCGATGCTGATGCTGATGCTGATGCTGATGCCGATGCTGATGCTGATGCTGATGCTGATGCTGATGCTGATGCTGATGCTGACGCCGATGCCGATGCCGATGCCGATGCCGATGCCGATGCTGATGATGATGATGATGCTGATGATGATGCTGATGACGATGCCGACGCTGATGCCGACGCTGATGCCGATGCCGATGCCGATGCCGATGCCGATGCCGATGCCGACTCTGTCGTCGAACCCCGAGACGGCGATTCCACCGATGTCGACCCGCCTGCCGAGGAAGAAGACGACGCTACCACCTCCGACACGGTCCCCACAGCGCCTACGCCGTCGCCGACCCCCGCGACCGCGGCCGGCGACTCACCGTACGGCTTCTACAACGAAGATGAAGGCACTCCCGACGATGACGACACGGACGGCTTCTACAACGAAGATGAAGGCACTCCCGATGATGACGACACGGACGGCGACTACACTGTCGTCGTAGACGACGGCTCGCAGACGCAGGGCAAGGCGCAGGACCCGCCCTCGGGCGAGGGCGAAGGCGACGACGCCGAGTCTGACTCCTCGAGCGGCGGGGTGCTGGCACTCTCCCTGACGGGCATCGCGCTCGCGGTCATCGCGCCGGCCGTGCTGATTTACACGGCCATGCGGAGAAGGAACGCCGGGTTTGAAACCATGCCCGCCGTGCCGTCGGAGGCCGGTACGTACCGGAGCCAGAACGTTGGGGGCGGCACGTTTGCTGTCGGCGAGGTGTGAGGAAGCTTGTTGCTGTAGACTAGCAAGTATTGGTGGTTTTCGTCGCCCTGATATTGTATAAAGTCGCGTATTGAACGTCCCTGGTGCGGGATGCGTTACTCGCATAGGGCATGCGACTTGGACAAGCATTATATACCTCGGGGATATAGATATAGGAACACGATAGCGTCGCGCCGTACGTAGTTTGTGTGCGCATAAGGCTTGAAGGCACGGTTGTCAGCGCTGAAGCCTTCGCAAGATTTCCTGAAAAACATCGAGGAAGCTGCGATACTCCTGTTCCGAGCACTCTCTGCCCGGGGTCCTCGCGTTGCGATAGAACGCGAGGTACTGTCTACACAGGTCGTTGCCTAGTTCCTCCCCCAGGGCCTCTCTGATGCGCTGCAGGTACTCTTCGACATCACAAGCCAAGGCGCTGCGGTCACACGGGTCGTCGTCCTTCACAGCGGGGCTGTCCGGGCAGGCCTTGAGCGTGGGGTCGCGGGCGAGCGCAAAGGCCTCGAGGATGCGCACGGACGCGGCGATGAAGGTCTTGAAGTGGACGCCCTCGTACGCGGAGCCGGGCGGGCCCCAGCCGCAGTCGTCGCGCCACTCCGGCACGACCTCCGTGCGCCGCTCGCGCTCCGCTTCCTCCCGGATGAGCTCGTACGCATGCTGGGGCGGCGGGGCGGGGCGGGGCGGGGCAGGGCGGGGCGGGGGTTAGTGGCGTGAGTGGTTTGCTCGGTTCGCGCGGGCAGGCGGATGTCGGGAGAAGAGACGTACTTTCGGCAGGTCGCAGAGCGTGAGGAAGTCCGCGGAGACTGAGCCCGAGCGGGCCTCGCGCATGGTGCGCCAGCGGCGGGACTTGAAGCAGCAGTTGAGGATGAGAACGAGGACCTGGGACGGGGGGAAAAGGGCGAGGGTCAGCAGGGGGCAAGGGCGCGGCGGGCGCGGAGCTCGAGGTTGGCGAGGCGGGTACGTACGATGACGGTGGCGCCCGCGCCGAAGATGGACCAGTGCTCGGCCGTGATGACCTCGAAAATGTTCTCTGGCTGGTCGGACATCGTATCGTGTACTGTGGTCGCGGGCAAGGGGGGAGGGAGGAGGGAGGAGGGGGTCTACGTGAGAGGAGGGTGGGAAGGGAAATGAGGGATGGGAAGAGGGGAGATGGACAAGGTGAGAGCAGGGTGGGAAGGGAAATGAGGATGGGTGGGAAGGGAAGGGAAATGAGGGATGGGAAGAGGGGAGATGGACAAGGTGAGAGCAGGGTGGGAAGGGAAATGAGGAATGGGAATTGTCCAGCAACGTTCAATGTGGGGAAGGAGTGGTACACGTGTAGTAGATCTGTACAGTACTAGCCAAAAGGCACTGTAATTATGCAAACAATTTGATCATCAAATTTTGATGTCAAATTGTTAACAGAAACAGCTGCGACACGGGCGCCGACTAACGGCGACACGAGAAGGGGACAGGATGAGCGGGTACTCTACCAATCAAAGGGGGGCCTCGCGTGGCAATCTCCCGACCCCTGCGGCGGACTGGCCGTGTTGAGGATGGCGCCTTAAATTGAATGTAGGCCGTATCTAACAGTGGATTGCGAAACTCCAATAACCGTAGAAGCCTTATTTTGCTTTGACGCTCCAATCGAAATAGCTCCAGACCAGCTCGTAGTAGCGCACCGCTATCGGCATGCCGGCAACCGGCAAAAACGCAAGGAAACGCAAACCGAAAGCCCTCTTTGTGCCACAACATACCTACCGCCTTCACCTGTGAAACCTTATACCGACAACATCGCACCACCACAGCGCCTCCACGCCCCCAGCCAACCCACGCCACACGCCGCTCCCTCCACGATGTTCGACGTCCTCCCCTGGCGCCCCGCGGCGGGCGTCGCGTGGGAAACCTTGCTGCACACGCTCTCGCGCCTCCCGGGCACGGTCCCGCTGCTCTCGCTGCTAGGCGCGCCGCCCTCGAGCTTGGACGTATCTGTCTTCGTCATGCTCCCGCTGGACACCGCCACCTCCGCCCCGCGCATGCCGCCGCCGCTCCTCGACTACGCCCTGTCCACGCTGGCGCGCCTCGGCGTCGTGGGCGTCATGGTCGACGTGTGGTGGGGTCTGTGCGAGCCCGCGCCGGGCGTGTACACCTTCGACAAGTACGTCGCGCTCGCCAAACTCTGCCGCGCGAAGGGGCTCAAAGTCCAGGCCACGCTCAGCATGCACGCGTGCGGCGGCAACGTGGGCGACTCGATCAATATCCCCCTCCCGCCCTGGGTCGTCGCCGCCGCCGACGAGCACTCCTTCTGGTTCACCGACCGCGCGCGCGCCGTCACCAAGGAGTACATCTCGTTCGGCGCGGACCACGCCCCCGTCCTGCCCGCGGGGCCGCGCGCCGCCACAGGGGACACACGCACCCCCGTGCAGGCGTACGAGATGTTCGCGAGGGCGTTCGTCGACGCCATGCGGGAGCACGCCCTGCTGGGCAGCGTCGTCACCGAGCTGCAGGTCGGCGTCGGGCCGTGCGGAGAGCTGCGGTACCCAGGCTACCCCATGGATCGGTGGCAGTTTCCGGGCATTGGCCAGTTTCAGTGCTATGATGAGTACTTGCTGCAGGATCTGAGGAAGTGCGTGCAGGAGACGGGGAGCGCGGAGGTGAAGGGCGCCGCAATGCCGCCGGAGGGGACGGGCGGGTATAATGACACGCCGCGGAGGACCGAGTTCTTTAGGAGAGGGTACAAGGGGGAGGCGGGGCGCTTCTTTTTGAGGTGGTACTCGGAGAGGATGCTGCGGCATGGGGAGGATGTGCTGAAGGCAGTGCGAGGGGTAGTGGAGGGGGAGGACCTGGTGCTGGCGGTGAAGGTGTCGGGCGTGCATTGGTGGAAGCACTCCGCGTCGCGTGCGGCGGAGGCGACGAGCGGGTACATGCTGGGGGCGGGGGAGCCGGCGTACGGGGAGATTGCGCGGATGCTGAAGCGGTACGACTGCGTGCTGGACTTCACGTGCCTGGAGATGCGGACGATCGACCAGCCATGGCTGCGGGCGCGGTGCGGGCCGCGGCAGCTGGTGGCGGAGGTGTTCGAGGCAGCGCGGAAGGAGGGCGTTCGGGTGGCTGGCGAGAACGCGCTGGAGAGGTATGACGACGTGGCGTACCGGCAGATCGTTAGGGCGTTTCGTAGATGTCGGGCGCAGAGGTATGGGTTCACGCTGCTGCGACTGGGCGATACGCTCATGGAGGAGGATAACTTGAAGAGACTGGGGGAATTCGTCAAGGAGATGAGTTGAGAGTTCAGGGCCTTTGAGGAAGAGCCCCTGTACCGTACAGTACGGCTGTTAATTTGTAAAAGTGAAAATGTGGATAGCGGCGATCATACCGTACAGTAATCAGATTCCATCCCTGACCGGCAAGCCTTGGTGCCCGAGGGTAGGCTGGTTGTTGCCACGCAGCGACGGCAAGCAGACGCTCTTCAACAAACGACGGCACCGGCACGAAAAACGTCATTTACAATCATGTCTTCCCCCTCCGCCCCTCCGCCGGACGCGCCCGCCGAGTACGCCAAGGTGGCCGCGGAGGGTCTGGACCGGGCGGCGGCGTGGGACGATGACGGCGGCGGCGGCGAAGAAGAAGAAGAAGAAGACTACCCGACAGCGTCTGCGTTCCCGCCGGACCCATTCAGCGAGCCGTCCCCCCCGCACGTGCCGTAC